TTGAGCCAAATTAGAGGAATGACCTTCATCGAAGATGAGGTTCGAATTCAATTTCAGTCAAGTCTCAGCACTTGAGTCCAATTAGAAGAACGACCTTTGTCGAAGATGAGGTTTGAATCCAATTTCAATCAAGTCTTAGCACTTGAGTCCAATTAGAGGAACGACCTTCGTCGAAGACGAGGTTCGAATCCAATTTCAATCAAGTCTTAACACTGGAGCCTAATTAGAGGAACAACCTTCATCGAAGACGAGGTTCGAATCCAATTTTAATCAAGTCTCAACACTTGAGTTTAATTAGAGAGACGACCAAAGATGAGGTTCAAATCTAATTTAAATCAAATGAATTACCCTTGTTGAAGACGAGGTTTGAATCTAATTTCGGCTGAATCTCGACATTCAGACTCTACTTGAAATAGCTTCGTTATTTTTAACTTGGGAACGAGAATGAATCTCATTGAACGACGTGGCAACCTTCGACAGTTCCTAAACTGTTGATCCACATGGATCTGTCACTTCGTCTTGTCAGCAATAAGTCTTTGGTACTTAATGTGTTACTTCATGCCACGTCCTCTTTGGCGCTAATTACAAATGTAATTGATTGTGTCGCTTCGTTCCCAGCACCCTTTGGCGGTTTGGTGCTTAAGGATTCATGTAACGAATCACAGCTATTTGGTTGGCTCCTTCACCTATAAATAGGCCATTACTTTTTGAGAGGATTCATCTTCCTCTTCTAAGCCTTGTTTCAAAATGACTCAGAAGGGACTTTGCATTTTAAGGCTTCCCCCTTCACTTCCTACTAAATTCCAAGCTCCGATAATCGTCGCCGGTGAGGTAGGCAAAGTTGATAACGCTATCGCTTCATGTGACACTTCTACTCCAATCCTTAATCTCTTGGTCTTTGTAGTAGCTCACTTGTTTGAGGATTTCTCAGTTTTCCAGAGTCAAAATCAGAATATATTTCGACAACTTGTTAGACTTTTGAATGAAACCCCCATGAGATATCCTAAGTCCAAACATGGTTACTGTTTTGACATGCCATGCACCCACAAGCATACAATCCCTTTTCTGGACTTCGGTCTATGTGGAAGCTTCACAGACTAAGTGAAGTGCTTCGTTTCGGAGGAGTCAGCAATAATGTTAGAGTTACCTTCACGTTCTGCAGATATGAGAGAATTGTTGATCCTATGCTTAGAGCTTGTGGTGTTTCTATTAGTAGTCAGATTACCCAAGTAGGTAGGCGTGTGCTATAAGCACCCAAGTTAAAAGTTGGGTATGGGGAAGACTTCATACCCAGGAACGGAAGATGGAGCTTCAACAACAAGAACAACAACGTCGTTGTGGACGAGGCTCGTAGTGAAATCTTGAAGGTCGTCAAAAACTTATAACTAAACTTCGTGTTGTAGTCCGAATGTCATTGAAAGAATCTGTAATTGATCCTCGTAGTGTAGTTCGAAGGAACTTATAACTGAACTTCGTGTTGTAGCCGAAAGAACTTGTAACTAAACCTCGTAGTATAGTTCAAGTCTTCTAAATTCAATCTATGTACTTCGAGTTTCTGTACTTTCAATTATATATGAATAAAATTTATATTTTATCCACATATTGTTCTCTTACTTTTTGTATAATTAAAGCATTTTACTTAGGATTAGCAAACCCTCAGCTTTCAACGGACTTGAGTTGTCTTTACCAACTGGCGTATGAGTTAGACTAGCCTTACTTTTTCCCTCAGTATGATGTGTTGTCAAAAAGTTTGTCTTAGATTTTAATACTAAGATTTTTCTTCTATCCTTAGCCTTTTTTAGGCTTCAGATTAAATGTAGGACAACGAAGTTCAAAATATGACTAAGTGTTAAGAACGAAGCTCAACACATAGCGAACTTATTGGGAAAACGAACGTCATTTATAAAAATGATAAAGTTGGGATAATCAAGTCATTCAATAACTTAGAATAACAACGACAAAGAAAACAAAGGCACATCACTTGGTAGGCCTAAGTTAGAAAATAAACGTCATTTGGGAAAATAACAACGTTAGAAAAATCACATCGTTCAGTGACTTAGCAGTATGATGATGATGATGAAAACAAAGGCACGTCACTTGATAGACCTAAGTTAGAAAAACGAACGTCATTTGGGAAAATAATGATGTTAGGAAAATCACATCGTTCAGTGACTTAACAGTGTGACGATGGTGATAGAAACGAAGGCACATCACTTGGTAGGCCTAAGTTGAAAAAACAAACGTCATTTTAGGAAATGACGAAGTTAGGAAAATCACATTATTCAGTGACTTAGCAGTATGATGATAGTGATAGAAACGAAGGCATATCACTTGGTAGGCCTAAATTGGGAAAACAAACGTCATTTGGGAAAAATGATGACGTTAGGAAAATCACATCGTTTAATGACTTAGCAGTATGACGATGGTGATAGAAATGAAGGCACATCACTTGCTAGGCCTAAGTTGGGAAAACGAACATTATTTGGGGAAATGATGACGTTAGGAAAATCACATCGTTCAGTGACTTAGCAGTATGACGATGGTGATAAAAACGAAGGCACATCACTTGGTAGGCCTAAGTTGGGAAAACGAACATCATTTAGAGAAATGACGACGTTAAGAAAATCACATCGTTCAGTGACTTAGCAGTATGACGATAGTGATAGAAACAAAGGCACATCACTTGGTAGGCCTAAGTTGGGAAAACGAACGTCATTTGGGAAAATGATGACGTTAGGAAAATCATGCAGTAACACATCGCATAGTAAGTTACTATTGGAAAGATATTGTTTTGAGTAAAAATATTAATAATCAGAGGTGATCATTAACATGATAATTTTATAGTCTCACTATCCTATTGAAGAGGATTAGTGAGGAAATTTTGGAGGAGACGAAGTGAGGAAACCATTACCTTTCTTTGCTTCTCCTCCTATCATGGGGCCTATTTGACCATGAGGCCTATGGGTAATATTTTTTCAAAAATTTACCATTGATAGCTATCATGAGTTTGTCACTATCTTAAGTGACAAGGCGATAAGCTCTATTTGAGTAAACAGTTTCTACCACAAATGGTCCCTCTCATTTTGGCTCGAACTTCCCTTTCTTTTTGGAATTCAAAATCATTGGGCGTCGAACGGTAAGAACCAAATCACCTTCTTTGAATGTGCGGTATCTAACCTTTTTATCGAATGCTCTGGAAATCCGAGCTTGATAAAGCTTGATGTATTGTTGATCCAGTAGTCGCTTCTCATCTAGCACTTGCAGTTCTTCAAGACATCGACGATGACTTTCTTCTGTGGTCATGCTAGTTGCAAGTGCTATTCACAGAGACGGAATTTAGATTTCTAGTTGTAAAATACGGCTTCACATCTATATACTAAAGAATATGGTATCGCTCCTATCGGCGTGTGAATTATTGTGCGATAAGCCCACAAGCTTTGACCCAACTTCTCGTTCCAGCCTCTTTTATTCGTCGAAACCACCTTAGTGAGAATTCTGACGATGGTCTTATTGAATGCTTCTGCTTACCCATTAGTAGCAGGGTTATAAGCTGTTGAGGCCAAATTCTTAATCTTGAATTTATTACAGAATCGGGTGAAAGCTTGGCTAACGAACTGGGGTCCGTTGTCATGGACGATATGCCTCGGAATACCGTATTTGTATATGATGTGATGTTTTAAGAATTTAACAACATCACTCATTTTAACTTTTCGCAATGGGATTGCTTCTGCACATTTAGAGAAGTAATCAGTTATCGCTAAAATAAAATGATGTCCCTTGGAAGAGGGTGGGATTATTTGGCCAACAATGTCCATACTCCATGTTTCAAAAGGTCACTAAGTGGCTGATGGGTGAAGATGCTCGGGTGGTCAATGCATGTAGTTAGCATGTATCTGGCAGGCATGGCATCGTTTGGCATAGGCGACGGCATCTTGTACCATGTTAGGCCAGTAATATCCTAATCTACATAGTCGGTCCCACAATTTAGGATCGGGCTGATGGGCTCCATAGATGCCATCATGCGCTTCCTTAAGAGCTTCTTTTGCTTCTTTCTTTGACAAACAGCAAAGTAATAGCCCATCATACGATCTTCGGTACAAAGTCTGAGATTGGGTATCATAGTAGAACCTAGGTGCTCATCTACGAGTAGATTCTCTTTCCTTAATATCTTCAGGCAATAAACCATATAATACATAATCAATGATCGGAAATCGCTAATCTTTAGGTTTGAGCATTACAGGCTCATCTTCAATCACACTGATCCGCAACGCATACTTTGACTTGAACAAATGTTTGCTTGTCACGGTGATTTGTTGAGTAGCTCTCTTATAAGATAATGTGGCTGCAAGCTATGCTAATACATTGGCATAAGTATTCTTGAGACGGGATACATAGTCAATGTAGAAACCTTCAAAAGATTCGGCCAATGCAATCGCTGTTGTATGATAAGGGATGAGATCCTCATTTCTAACCACATATTCTCTCTTAATCTGGTTAATGATGAGTTGTGAGTCGCCATATGCTTCTAGGTACTTCACCCCCAGCTATCTAGCTATATCCATGCCAACCAGCAAAGCATTATATTCGGCTACATTATTAGAGCATGGCTCTGTTAGAGAAATAGCCCGTGGTAGCACATGATTTTGTGGAGAGATAAAGACTACCCCCACTCCGGCAATAACTCGACCAGCAGGGTTTGCTCTTGCCGTACCATCGAAATATAGTTGCCATGCCTACTCTTTGAAAATAGCATTGGCTTCATATGTTTCATCTGGTATGTCCTGATACAATTCCACATTCCCCTTTAATGGATGGTTAGCCATAAAGTTACAAATAGCTTGACCTTTCACTGCCTTTTGAGGTTTGAAATGAATATCATATTGGGAGAGTAACAATGCCCATCTAGCGAGTCATCAGTTCAACATGTTGGGTTGTGTCATGAATACCCGAATAGGATTGATCTGAGAAATGACATGTATGGTTTGCCTAACCAAATAATATCACATATTTTGGACTGTGAAGACCAATGCCAAACATTCTTTCTCAATAAGAGGATAATGAGGTTCAGCACCCGATAAAGTCCTACTAAGACAGTAAACAGTTTGCTCTTGGCCGTTTTCATCATCTTGTGCTAAGAGTCCTGACAATGCATGATCTGTAGCCCGGATGTATATCAAGAAAGGTTTACCTGACTTTGGTGCAACCAATACTGACGGATTGGAGAGATATTGCTTAATCTCCTCGAATGCTTTCTGGCAAGCTTCATCCCACACAAAAGATACCCCTTTCTTCATTAGTTTTGAGAACGGTTGGCATTTACCTGACAGGTTAGAAATGAACCTGCGAATATATGCTAATCACCCTTGTAAGCCCCGAAGCTCTTCGAGATTTCTAGGAGGTGGCAACTCTCGGATGGCTTTGACTTTGTCTGGATCAAGTCGAATTCCATTAGATGTGACCACGAACCCAAGGAATTTACCGCTAGTCATTCCTAAAAATGACTTAGTTGGGTTCATCTTTAGTTGGTGTGCCCACATAAGGTCGAACATCGTTTTCAAGTCGTGCAAATGGTTTCCCTTGTTATGACTTTTAACGACCAAGTCATCCACATAACATTCCACAGTCTTCCATAGATGTTTTTGAAAAATGGAGGTCATGGCACGTTGATATGTAGCACCGACATTCCTCAACCCAAAGGGCATTACTGTATAATAGTATATTCCCGAAGGCGTTCGAAAGGATATGTGCTTTTCATTATCAGGATACATTTTGATTTGGTTGTATCCTGAAAATCCATCCATAAAAGACATCCTTTCAAACCCGCACGTATTTTTAATAATGACGTCCGTGTGGGTAAAGGAAAATCATCTTTAGGACAAGCTGAATTCAAGTCTCGGAAGTCAATACACACTCGAATCTTCCCATTCTTTTTCATAACAGGGGCAATGTTGGCCACCCAATCAGGATGCTTCTCTTCACAAATAAATCCTGACTCGATGAGCTTTTTGACCTCAGCTTCAATTGCCTCCATGGTTTGAGGCTGAAATCGCCTTTGTTGTTGTTTAAAAGGCTTGACGTCTGGTTTGATATTTAATCGATGCATAGCCGCTTGGAGATCAAGCCTAGGCTTATCCTAATAGTTCCAAGCAAAGATATCAATATACTCTCATACTAGTAATGAGGTCTTTTTTCTCTTTGGGCGACAAGCTATCGCTTATGAATATGGGTTTTGGGTTAATCTCGTCTCCCATGTTCACTTGAATCACTTTGTCATCAGTTGTAGGCTCACGTTGTTCGAAGCGGTGTTCCCACTGTATACCCAGCTATCGGCTTAGCGGGTCATCAAACAGAGGTAATTGGTCATCTTCTTGATTTTCTATTGGAGATGCTGAGGTCGTGTTGGCCATGAGTGTCCTGAACATAGCTCCTTCACTAGAGTCGGACTCCTAGCAAATGGATTCAGAAGATGAGGTGCAAGAATCATCATATGACTCTCCTTTGGTTCCAAAACACAGCGTGAATGGTGGGGATTCATAACCTAACCCACGACGAGTAATCTTACGACTTTTCTTCCGGGACATAAGCGGATTTGATTGGTGTCCGGATCCCTTTACCGAAATTTAAGTCTTCTTTATGGATGAAGTCGTATCCCATATTCTTCATAAGTTTTCGGGTTGTTGGTGTGAAATACAAGAATTGCAGATATTTTTCCTCCTTCTCAGATTCTTCCAAAAAAGTTTACGTCGGGCCGTCACTCCTCCTAAAGATGATGTCTTTTTGGTCATTAGCCTTGGCTGGCACTATGAAGTCTGCTTCCGAAGATTTGATTTGCTGTCGATTTGTCACAAAAGATGATTGAATCGACATGTATAAATTTGATTCAGCATATAATTGGGGTAGAGGATCTGCCGATGTGCTGGTGCTTGTACTTGGTATGTTAGAATTCAATTCAACACATAATAAGTAAGTTAAATCATTATTATTATTAAAGATAACTCCTCTGTCCTCATAGACAGAATCGTCTACATCCAGATCTTCAAGACCAATTATGATGGGTTCTATATTATTAAAGACAAGACCATATTCGTACTCAGACTCGGTATCGGCTTCATTACCGCTATCTGGTTCTTCAATCTGTGGTAACTTCAAAAGGCTCATCCTTAAGGTAATGGATAGAATCTGTGAAATAATTCTCCACCCCCTTGAATAGTTGTTTCTCTGCGACCACTATTTTGACTTCACCACTCTTATCTACATATTTCATGCATTGATGTAGAGTTGATGGAACAATCAGATTATTATGGATCCAATGCCGACCCAATAACAAATTGTAAGACGTCTCTGTATCAATGATATAGCAAGTGACATCCATCCTCAAGTCACCCATCTGGCATTTAAGTTTGTTTTTACCAAGGGGACTAGTATTGGAAGCATTGAAGCTATAGATGATGGTTCCCGTTGTTGATAAACGATGCAGAGGGACTCCAAGGTGATGAATGAGTCTTAACGGTATGATGCTCAAAGCAGAACCGGTGTCAACCTGAATTTTGTCCACCCGAATGGAGCTGATATACCCTGTTAAGTACTATGGTCTATCGTGTTTTGGGTTCCTTACGTGCATGTCTTCTTGAGAAAAGGTGATGTGTGGCTTTTTCCTTGAAAGACCTGACAACACTAAGGGCAAGCTTCTTCCAACGTTATTCCGGCTGGGTTTGGTGGAAAATGAGTAAGGAAAGCCTCATTATCTGCCAATGCTTCACAAAGAGCTTCCCTCCTTGATCGAGATAAACGTAGAAGCTCAAACAAGGTAATCCTTGCTGGGATGTTGGCTAACTGAGCTAGCACATTAAACCGAAAAGGATCTTTTGAACTTTTTGGTGTATCTTTTCTGAGTGCTTTGCTGTAATGAAGTTCCTTTGCTTGAGTTTGCTCCATCACTTCTTTCCCTGGTTTGGGTGGTGCAACTGCTGTTTTAGAGTATTTCTTTAAATACTCCTTCCCCCACGTGTTCTTGATATCTGTGCAGATTGTGCAGTGAATGCTAGCTACTCGTTTTCAGAACTATTAATTGATGTAGTTTCAACTCCCTCATCTGGGATGGCTGAGATAGCGTTGCAAGATCTTCGTGTGACTTTAGGCTTCCTTACATTTACCAATGTCCATTGCTCATCTATTAGTAAATCAGGATGAACCCACATCAATTCACCTTTAGGGGTAGTGTAGGGGACCATCCCTTTTTATTTCCTTTGATGGGGGTCGAAGTTCACAATCCTCGTCTTTGCCTATGGAATCGGTTTTATGCCGTCTTGGACTTGCACCTCAGCGAAATCTCCAAACTGTAGCGAGACCATATTCGCAGATACTTTCTTTTGCTCTGCTTGAAGTGTCATCACACCTGCATCTAGCAAAGCCTGTATTTTATCTTTTAGGATATAACATGCCTTAGTTGGATGATGCATCATCCTGTGGTACATGCAATAGTTAGGATCATCGGTCCTTGACACTTCTACGTTCCATTTTACCTCTGGTAATTTGATCTTATTCATCTTGATCAAAGATGTGAGAATGGAAACCACATGTTCATCCTTGAAATCATACTTCTTCTGAAAATGTTTGTCTAAAGTATTTCCCTTCTGTTTTGTAGAAGACTTCGGGGATGATGTTGTTTCAATAGCTAGAGTATCCTTCCCTTTTGATTGTTTCTAGGAATTATAGTTGCTTTTACCCCTTCCCTTTTTAGGCTGAGATTCTTGAGGTTCTTCAGCATCTATTCTCTTGAGCATGTTTTCCACCTGCTCTCCTTGCCAAACTAAATCTTTCCATGAATGGGCTTCAACAGCGCCCATCTTGAACAAGATATTGATAGAAGGATTGTTGCGGCACATCTCCATAAGAGTAGCTTTAGAAACTTGATCTCGTGAATGCAATGATCGATTTCTAAATCTTTTAACAAAGTCACTGACAGACTCCGTCTTCTTCTGCTTCTTAGCCAATAACGTGGTCATAGACACCTCAGTGTCATCGTCGAAGAATCGGGCTAGAAAAAGCCTCTCCAAATCTCTCCAAATTTGGATTAACCCTGGCTCAAGTCTACGAAACCACTCGAAAGACACCCCTTTTAGGGTACTGATGAACAATCGAGTCATAATAGGATCATTACCCACTATATGCTCGGTCTGTGTCTGGAATTAATAAATATGTTGGGTAGGAGAACCCTTGCCGTCAAACTATACCAAGTTGAGTGGTTTGAACTTTGGAGGATACAGGATCGTATCCCATTCACTTGGATATGGCCTGGCCACCCCTAGTTCTTTGAAGTTTCCTTGGAGCTTCAATGCATCAAGTTGCTTTTGTAAGTCATCCTACTTTTGGTCTTGTGCTTTTGTACAAGGATTGGATTCAGCTTCAGACGATTCAGAATGAATCTTCACAACATTCTCCTAATCGTCTTCATCATTACCATTTAGGTTTCGATGGTTATTTTCTTCATTGACGGGTGAAGGTCGCCTACGCCTTGATCCCGAAGCTTGAGAATGAACTTTCTTCTTCTTCTGTTCTTTCTCCCCAAGGAGTTTCTCCACCATAGCTTCCAGGTGTCTGATGGATTCATGCTATTAGAGGATGGTTAATTGTCCAAGATTAGGTGAAATGTCTTCTTCACCTCCATGTTGGCCTTCTTGTTTTGATGATGATTTACAAACAATTTACTACTAATGTTGTTTGTCTAGTGTTTGCACATTCTTATGTATTATAGACAAACAACGTTGTTGGAGGATGGATGGAATAGAGCTTCAACGATCATATCCAAAGGAGGTTGGCGGAATGTCGGTGAAGCCTTGCTATTCAAAGTTCAAGATCCAAGTTAAAGCTTCATCCGCGAGATTACCTAGAAGAGCTTATTGAAGATCAAGATCTAGCTTGGGTAATTTAGTTTAGGTTTTATATTATGTGTGTTAGATACTCTAAGCTCAATATCATATACACACACGTATTTGGTTTCTAAGCTCAAATATTATATTCTCAATTTATAGACTTAACAATCATCATACACATATTTTATCAAGTCTATATAATCATTGTGCAAAGTTTCAAAATATTATTTATGTCAAAACATCAAACTTCATGTATATCACTTTTTTCATGTTTTGAACACTTTTGCAAATAATGAGATTTCACAATTGGGAAATGTAAATTGGAAAATTCTTTTTGTAACATGTTCAAAATATCATTTGCAAACATTTCTCAAAGTTTCATCAAGTTTGGAATTGATTTGTTATGTTTAAAGGAATTTACAAATTCACGTTTTCGTTCGTGCACATGTTCGTGCATGTTTTACAAAACAGATGAGTTTTTATAAATGGGAAGTGATATTCTTACATGTTTAGAAACTTTCCTTAAAATTTTACTATTTTTGGAGTTGATTTACTGTGCCTAATTGATTTTACAAAATCGTGTATCACAGCAGATTTTCAGAAACTGTATTTCTATGTTCAAACATTTATTTCTCTCAACTGGAAAATGATTTTTCAGAAATTCTTTCTCTAACATGTTTTTATACATGTCTAGAACCTTCTCTCAAACTTTCATAATATTTAGAGCTGTTTTACTATTTTTAACCAATATTATAAAATCGGATATACCTGCTACAGTACCTCCGGTCGACCGAAATTTTCCGCCGGTCGACCGACGAACTCTCTGGATGTCTCCTGAGCTTCTGACCTTATTCATCGGTCGACCGCTAGAGTCCCAACGGCTCTTTTTAGAGCCGTTGCAGATGGTTTTTTGGTCTTTTTGTAAGGGGTTTTGGTCTGAGGTTTTGGAGGCTATAAAAACCCTCTTTGATCTCAGTTTTCAGTGAGCTAAGAAGTTTTTAACAAGGGTTTTAAAAAGGGTTTAAGCTTGTTTTAAGCTTGTTTAAGAGTTTGGTTTAATGCAGTTTTAGCTTTCACAAGTGGAGAAGATTATCTTCTTGTTTGAGCCTCAAATCTCCATCTCTTCATCGTGTTATTCAGAGAAGAATCTCTAAACTCA